GAAGACCACCACTGAAAGGACTTAATGACTTGCAGAGTTAATCTGACCTGGGAATGGGAGCAACTCCTACCTGTCCTCTGATAAGGGAGAAGAAACCGTTGGAGTGCCCTGGCATGCAATCTAGCCCAGGGCACTATATTAATGCATGACATCATCTTACCCAGGAGTTTAGAAAATGTAGCCAGGGGTACCCTGTTCTTAGATTTTACTTGCCCAATCAACTCCCTGATATTCTTCTGACTCTCCTGGGATAAGGACACCCTGCAGGAAATGGTATCTATTATAGCTCCCAGATGGAGCAAACTATTGGTGGGAGTGAAGTGACTCTTGGCCTTGTTGACAGAGAAGCCATGTTCCTGGAGCACCTGAATGGTGATCTCTAAATTTTCTGCTGCTCAAGATGGGAGGATGATTGGACCAGTATATCATTCAGATAGCACTGGACTCTGACTGGAATGGCCTAAGGTGGGCCGCCAGAGCTGCCAATAGCTTCATAAATGTCCTGGGAACAGATGAAAGCCCAAAGGGCAAAACCCTGTACTGAAAATGCCTACTGTTATAGCAGAACCTGAGGAATTCCTAAGGGCCAGAAGAATGGGAACATGAAGGTAGACCTCAGTTAAATCTATGGAGATAAAGAAATCCCCTTCCCTAATTTCCTTCAGAATAGACTGGAGAGAATACATCTTAAACCACCTGTATTTTATCCAGTGGTTAAGATGCTTCAAATCCAGAATTGTCCTCCATCCCCCCGAGGCCTTTGGGATTACAACCAAGATGGAATAAAATCCCATACCTTGTTGGGTCTCAGGCACCGGCTGAATAGCCTGGATCTCCAGCAGGTGCTGAATAGCTTTTTCCATGAGGACCTTTCTCTGTTTTTAGAAACAGGACAACAAATGAAAAACCTCGGGGGGTATAGAGAGGAACTCTAGGGAAAGGTCCGAAAATGGACCATCTCCAGGACCCAGTGTCTGTGGTTACTTCCTCCCAGCACCTAGCAAACAAGGCCAGATGTCCCCCAATGGGAGGGTTGACAGCAGGTTTATCTGGATTGTCGGAAGGGACAACCCCCAGCCCCCTGAAAGGACCACTTGTTATTAAGTGGGTGATTTCTACCTGTCCTGTCCTGAGGTTGATCCTGCCTGGGGATGAAAGGCCTCTGAGGTCTAGAAACCCCCCTCCAGCTTTGGGTGTCCTATAGTAGGGATGTCTGAAATAAGGCACCGATCGGAAGTCACCCCTTCTGGATCTGGAAGGTAAGATCTTCCCCTTGTCTTGGAGTCCACCAGCACCTTGTCCAGGGCTTCTCCAAACAATTTTTCCCCCTTAAAGGGGACAGTGGCCAACCTCCATTTATGTCTCATATCAGCCTGCCATTGCCTGAGTTAGAGCAGGCGGCGAGAGGCTATAGCCAATCCTATCATCTTAGAGGCAAATGTGGCTACACTGAGAGTGGCATCAGCTGAGAACTCCACAGATGCTAGGAGCTTATTTATATGCTGGTGTGACCTGACATACTCAAGTAGAATTCTCTCTTGCAAGATGAGAGATGCCCTGTTGGTAAAGGATGCGGCCGTGGAACCTTTCTGTTCCTCCTCTCCCTCGAAGTCAGTCTCCAACAGGGTCATGACACCTTCTCTGCCCATGCTGCTGACTGATGGGTTCTCTGTAACATTTGTTCAGTCCTCTTGTCCTCTGCCTTCAACAAGTCCTCGGGCTCCCCAGGAATATCAAAGTTGGATTGTACGGCTGCTACTGGGGCATCCACAGCGGGCACTTCTAGGCTTTGGAGAAATCAGCTCCCACACTGAACAACCTTCTGTCCAGGGAGGAAGGGCTTGGACCTGACCCAAGACAAGACCACTGCCTTTGGATGACTGTTGTGAACATCTTTGGCACAGGGATGACATCTGCTGTTATGGTCTTTTCCGAAAACAATGGGTCATTGGGGTCTTCGGAAGGATCTGTTGGCTCCTGTGGTTCAGGAGCCATGCCTAGCCCTGTGGCATTAAAGAGGAACGACTTGAATATGGCAGGCTGGAAAAGGCCTGAAATTGCAGTTTGGTCAGAATCAAGGCCCTCATCAGAATAATTTCTATATATCAGCTGCCCTATGTCAGATGGATTGTAATGAGTACTCCCAGAAGGAACATAAGAAGCAGACCCTGACTGAATGGAGAGATCATCCTCATAATGAGGATGTCTCCTGCTATGCTTTGAGGAGGAAAATGAAGCCTCAGAAGGTGATTGCCTGGTTTGTTTTAAGACAGCTGATACACCCTGCTTCACTGTCTCAGCTAACAGAGCCTGCATGTTAAATTGGAATTCCGGCTCTTGTCCCGCTGATGTGGAAGTAAAGGTAGTCTCAGGGGCCACTCTGGTTCTATGGGCAAACAGAAAAGAAACTTCTAATTTCAGAGCCTTCCATAGAATCTTGCATTAGATCCTGGCTCTTCAGCTCCCCCAGTGGCCACTTCTGGTAAAACACTTCTGTCAGATTGAAAAGACTTGGCTCCTCTTTATAATGGTTGCTCCTCGTTTTGGCGGGAATCTGTCATGGAGCTGTTAGGCGCCATTTCTGAGCTCTTTTGGGCCGCTTCTTGTCCCTTAGCCTACAATCTGTCTAGTGCTTTATCCCTGCAGCACTCATCCCGCTCAGCTGCCTTGAGGCTCTTTTGAGCCCCTGCAGCTCTATCCCTTGGCTTGAGGCTTGCAGAGGAGGCTGAAATATTTGGGGCTGCAGGACTGAGAGTGTGTGACGGCCTGCGAGCCATCTCCTCCACTCTCCTGTTCACACGGCTAGAGTGTTGGGTGGAATCCGCCATCTTAACAGTCCCCAGTGTTCAAGTTTGCTCAGGAATTATTGCCCTGCAGCTCTAAGGACGTGGAGAAAACTCCCCCAGACTACTTACCCTGGAGAAGTCCACCCATTAATTGTGATCTTTATCTACAGCTGGTCTTCAGCCCCATTTAAAGCACTGCTGCAGTAATTACAGGGTTTTGAGGCAGCCGTTTGAAGCCACCAAAAGCCCTCCCAAGCCAAACACAGGAAACAGTGTGGATGTTTAGTCTAACACACCTCCATGAAATATCTCACAGTCAGTGCAGATCATCCTCAGCCGATCTGTTGATGGATGGTCTGGGCCAAAGCCCCGACCGATCATTTGTTCCGTTTGGACAGCTCCCTAAGTAGTAGACCCATCTGGCTGCCCAGGAAATAGCATACAGGATTGTATTTTGAGTAATTTAGGCCTAATTTTCTATAGATTTTGACATTTTGTAGGAGCAAAAAAATACACGTTGTCCAGCTAGCTGACTGAATCAATTTCTGGGGCACCCTTAGCAATGGGGGAATGGCCTCAAAGATCTGACAGATTCAGTCCAATCAGCAAGCAGTGACTGATAACCCAATCCTGGATGCTATCTCCACCACAATGGAGAACCATGTGACTGACCAGATGACCTGCTATTTCAGCTGGAAGAAATAGCAAATTACAAGACAGCCATCATCAATCAGTCAATGAATCAGAATAGAGCTGGAAGGGACCTTCAAGGTCTTCTAGTTCAATCTCTTGCTCAAGCAGGAGACCCTAACTAAACAGATAAGTGGCCGTCCAGTCTTTTCTTAAAAACCTCCAGTGATGAAGCACCTACAACTTCTGAAGGCAAGTTGTTCCACTGTTAATCGTTAATTTCCATCCAGTGTTTCTTGTCCTGACCTCTGATACTTTGGAAAATAAGTTGACGCTCTCCACTTTGTAGCAGCCCCTCAAATACTGGAATATTTCTATTCCATCCCCACTAGTCCTTCTTTTCAGCAAGTTCTTCCTTACACGTCGACTACTGGGAGAAAGACAAGCATCAGTACAAGATTTCTGCTTCAAAACACATTGAATATCGAGTTTTGAAACAGCTGAGTGCCAAAATACAACTTTATTACATTTATTAAACATTAAATTATATGCAAGTGTCCATTAAGAATTGAAATATGCTGATATGTTGAGCAGTACACACTGTATTTTCACAATTGGAATTAAATTGCAACAGGAGCATGAATATGAGTAAAATTAACACAAGGAAACAATATATCTATATCTTAAAGGTAATAGAAGCTATACTTAGCAGGCAAATAGTAACTTTAATATTGTCCACCTCTCTAATGAGACCCTATTGATGCTTAGTCTAGAACCCTATCTTAAGCTAGAGGTTAAGAATAGGTAATTTTTGCAACTTGATAATTATTTCAGAAATGACTGATATGTCCACTCCATACTATATGCCTCTACACCATCTACCATATACATGTAGCCCCTTGTGTAGCAACCACAACTGGGACCAGCAACTTGATTGTTGAGCAAAGTGGTTGCAAAGTATGCCTCTAATCTTACGTCAGTTTGCCTTCGCTTTATAAACCTGTGAAGGTCATAAATTCAAGGATTAATCACAAAGTTATTTGTACTATAATACCTAAACAGCAAACAGTTGCTAAATGAGGCATTTGCTAAACTACCTGTGGTTAACTATTTAAAATATGCACACCCTTCATGTAGACAGAGAATGGGGAAATGATTTGCTGCATTGGCATGCTTTGTTCACAACTTCTGGACCGTGACTTCTGCCACTCTGAAAGCTGAAAAAAACTGTTTCTCTATAGTAAGCAAATTACACATTTATACATGGGCATATCAATTGAGATTAGAGAATATATAGTTTCTAAAATAAATTCCCACATTTGATAAAAGGCCAGAAGGAGCATTGGTAGATTTACCTGAAAACGCACTTTCTAAGATGGTATAGACAGGATCCATGCATGGGAAGTATTCAGCTCTATTCAGATATAGACTGAATAGAAAAACTGAAGACACACCCCTTCCAAGCCACCGTCCCCAGTTCTGAATGAAGTCAAGGACTTCTAATAGATGCTGCAAAAAGTCCCATCTTGTATAACATTCACAGTCAATGATATCTTAAATTTTAGTCCAATATACAGCACGATGGCCAGAGAAAATAAAAAGAAATATTGGGCGGGTCTAGATCCTGTCTACACCATCTGAGAAGGCGCATTCTCACGTAAGTCTACCAACCCTCCTTCTCCAGAATGGGTTTGACAGGATCCATGCATGGGGTATACCAAAGCAATGTCCGATGAGAGGGATTCTGGCTCTAATGATTCTGCTCTTCTGGCAATACCTTTTGAAGTATTCTCCTTCCAAATGCTGCTTCTGCGGAAGCGAAACAGTCAAGTTTATAATGTCTAACAAACGGTGAAGGAGTGGACCAAGTCGCCGCCTTACATATTTCTTCCACTGAAACCTGAGTACTCCAAGCTGCTGTAGTGGCCGCGCTATGTGTTGAGCAAGCTGTGATATGAGATTCGACAGGTAACCTGTGCTTTGTAAATGTTAGCAATGTTTGCTCTAATCCATCTGCCTATGGAAGAAGACGACACCTTTTGTCCTAAGGAGTTCTGATGATAAGAAATAAACATGGCTTCTGTCTTTCTAAAGGAAGCTGTCCTTTTTATGTAAATATGGAGAGCTCTCCTTACATCTAAGGTATGCCAAAATTTCTCTCTAGGGTGAGACAGATTTGGACAAAAATTTGGTAAAACAAGTTCTTGCACCCTATGAAAATGGGAATTGACTTTTGGTAAAAGTAGCATCCAATCATAAAACAACTCGATTGGTGTGAAAAATACAGAGATCAGGTTTTACTGACAGAGCAGCAAGCTCAGATATCTTTCTAGCAGACATAATTGCCACTAAAAAAATTACTTTATATGATAAATGCTGTAGGCTGACAGTTCTCAAAGGCTCAAAAGGTGAAAGCGTAAGGGCTTGTAGTACCTTAGTAAGGTCCCATGATGGAAATCTATAAATGAACCCTGGTCTTAAATTTGCTGCCCCTTTAAGAAAACACGAATAAATCTGAACTTGTACATGAAAGTATCAATGAGAGCGCTGCAACCAGTCTACGGAGAGTTGCTGGAGCAAGACCCTGGTCCAATCCTTGTTGTAAAAAATCTAAAACCTGGGAGATCAAAGCCTCCCCAGGATCTGAACCTTTATCCTTGAACCAATTATAGAAATCTCTCCAAGTAGTCTCATAAATCCTAATAGTGGACTGTCTTCTGTCTGCCTGTTAGCGTAAATAACCTGTGTGAAAAGATCCACCTTTTTTAACAGTCTCCTCTCAAGTGCCAGGTGACCAATTGAAGCCATTGAGGCTCTAGATATTGAATTGGCCCCTGGCTGAAACCCTTTCAGGAGGAATCCTCCAAGGACATGACACTGACACTGGGCCAATACAGTGCCACAAAGATAATCTCTGCTTTCTGCTGTAAGGTCTTCCTGACAACTGCTGAGATGAGAGGTAATGGAGGGAAGGCATAAAGGAGTCCCTTTGGCCACTGACAGCGAGGGGACGGGAATCTGGAGAAGAAACGAGGCAGTTGATGATTCGTCTCAGATGTAAACAGATCCAATATTGGGTGGCCAAATCGGTTGGAAATTTCTTGAAAAAGAAGCGGATGCAAAGTCCACTCTGTCTGATCTATCGTGGATCTGCTTAGCCAATCTGCCCTGACATTTTGTGTCCCTGAAATATGTTCAGCTTTGATTGAGAGCAAATTCTTCTCTGCCCATCTGCAGAGACAGGAAGGTTCTTTTTGTAGTGACTTGGACTGTGTTCCTCCCTGATGATTAATCAGCATGTTAGCAGCCACATTGTCTGTTAGGATTAACACATCTTGTCCCCTGATTATTGCCTCAAATTCCTTGAGAGCTAGGTGTACTGCTCTTAATTCTAACCAATTGATATTATGTTTGAGGTCATTATCATTCGAAATGCCCTGTGCTACCTTGTCTCGACAATAGCCCCCCCCCCATCCAGAGAGACTAGCAACGGTAGTTATTGTTGTAAACTCCCTGTCTTTAAAGGAGCATCCTTTATCTAATGCCGAAGAAGTCCACCAAAGCAATGTTAATACCTTGGTTGGCAATCTGATTCGGATGGAAGAGATACCTTTCATGGATCTCTGAAAAAGTAACAAGAACCACTGCAATTCACAAGAATACAGTTGTGCACATGGCAGGATATCATTTTGCCTAGTAATTTTGACATTTGGGCTGGGGATGCCTTTCTTGTGCAAAAGAAATGAGCTGCTAATGCTTTAATGTCCTCTCTTCTTTGCTGAGAGGAAAACTAAAACTAATTCCGAATCTATTATTGCCCCTAAATGTTTGGTAAATGGTTCAAAATGACTCTTTTCCTGATTAACCAAGAATCCATGGGATTGTTAAGGTTTGTAAGGTGATGATCAAGTCTCTAATAGCTAACTCATGGGAGACTGATTGTTTTAAGATATCATCCAAGTATCTAATTGGAACAGTTCTAAGGTGGGCTGATATAGCTGCCAGGATTTTGGTAAATGTCCTGGGTGCTGACGCCAACCCAAAGGGAAGTGCTCTATACTGAAAGTGTAGACCTGCATAACAAAATCTTAAATACTTGCAGTGGTCAGGTAAGATTGGAATATGCAGATACGCTTTGGTAAGTTCAATTGAAACTAAATAGTCCCCATGTCTCATGTTCTTCAAAATAGATTGAAGTATGTGCATCTTGAACCTATGATAAATAATAAAAAGAGTTTAGTCTTTTCAGGTTTAAAATAGCCTTCCATCCACCTGATGATTTGGGAACAACAAATAACAAGAGTAGAAGCCTTGTCCCTGTTCCTCCTCTGGGACTGCTTCCACTGCTTGGATTCTTAGGAGGTGCTGAATTGCTTCCTCCATCTTTCTCCTTTCTCCTTTTGTGTACATTTGAAGATACTGGACACCTGATAAAAAATTTGGGGGCCCTGGCTCAAAATTCAAGTGCCAGACCTTCCCTTGTTGTCTGTCCAACCCAAAGATCCGTTTGCTCCTACTGGTCTGCAAAACTTTGCAATCTACCACCAACAGGAGCTTCCAAGTGCCTATTTGTATTTTTGGAACAGTCTGTTCGATGAACCATGGAATGACCATTTGGTCTGTGGTTGCCTTTCGCGGTTCCCTTGAGTCTGCTCAAAATCTTGCCTCTGGCTGAAGTTTACTTGACTTCTTTGGCTGGTAGACCTGTAGAAAGGTGCGTGAAAGGAACATCTGTAATAGGGTGAGAATTTGTTGTCTGTCTGCTTTAAGACTGACGGCAATATCTTACGTTTATCCCATGCTTCGACAATAACAGGGTCTAGGGGTGCACCAAATAGCTTTCCACCTTTGTACGGTGCAGACGCCAGCTTCCATTTCTTCTTGGTGTCTGCCTGCCAATACCTGAGCCAGAGTAACCTGCGAGCTGCTACCGCCAAAGACATGGCCCATGAGGCGAATTTAACAGAGTTCAAAGTTGCGTCTGCCGAATATTCTGATGCAGCAATAACTTTGTTAAAGTCTAAGTTGGCTCTTATATTGTCTATTGGTACCTGCTGCTGTATTTGTCTTAGCCATATCACAGCTGCCCTAGTGAAAAAGGATGCCGCTGTGGCAGTTTTGACTGCCCATGCAGCTGCCTGGTGTGTCTTTCGGCACATTAAATCAGACTTTTTGTCCTCTCCTTTTAGGACATAATCTTCATCGTTGAGAATAGTTGAAGCAGATGCTAAAGCTAGAACCGGGTCGTCAACCTTGGGTAGATGCAAAGTTGCTGTTAAGGGTGTGTCTATATTGTAAATTTTTTGTCAAATGCAGTTACCCCAGGACCCAAACTGGGAAATTCTAATTGTCTCTGCACCATATTAAAGAATATTTTGTAGGAAGAGATAACTTCTGCTTCCACTTTTGGGTCCATGAAAAGAGCTGCATTGCCCCCTGTTTTGTGAGTAACAAAATGTCTCTGTTCAGTTCTAGGCTGGTTGCGTTCTTGGCCTTGGCTAATAATGCTTTAAATAAATGTGGTTTAAATAGGCCTTTGGTATCTGATATCTCTGGTTCTGTCTCCTCTTCAGACAGAGATTCTATTTCTCCTTCCTCTACTGAATAATCGGATTGTTCATCCTCTGATGTAGCAGGAGAACATGTTTTAGTCATAAAAGTCTATCTAGGGGGATGGGAATGTTTCCTACAATGGGAGGGACCTACTGTAGACTCTGCTTGAATTGGAATGTTCGTCTGAAGTCCCCCCATCATTCCCTGACCAAAAAGTTGTGTAAACCACTGCTGGACAACCAGTGGCATTAACTGCCCTCCTGTTTCAGGGTGTTGCATTGGCACTGGTCTAGGTAAAGGAGGAGCCATTGGTACTGGATGACTCCAGAAAGAATACCCTGGTAGTTCAAAGTCCTGCATGTTTGTAACTATTTGGCCAAAATTGTCCATGTCTGATCCCACTTGGGAGAGAATTGACTGACTTGTGTGATCCTCCTTAGGAGGATTTAATTGCAGTGACTTCATTTGTTCTTTTGAATTCTTTTTTACTTGCTTTACCAATGCATTATGTAGTCTACGCTCAGCCTGCTCATCAGCTTTGGTTTTCCTGTTACCATTGGCCCTGACCCTGGCCCTGGCCCTGATTTTATCAGCTGCCTCCTGAACTGATCCTTTGGTCTTACAGGTTCTTTTACCCTACCTTTCTGCTGAGTGGAAGCAATCTATTGTGGAGACAGCGCGTTGCAAGATTCCTCCATAATGTCTATAAATGACGGTAACAGTATTCTGACTATATCAAATAAAAATAGAAATAATAATTAATTGTAATGCATCTGATCAAATCCTTTAAGAAAGCCACTATTAATAAGTCAAGAGTAGAAAAACTGAGGAAAAAAACCTTTTGTCTTTTTCTGAGGCTCTGCCCCTCAGGACAGAATTCCGCCAATTTCAAAACAATTAAATAGCTCAATAACCAGAATCTTTCAAGGTTAACTGTCTATGAGCAGTACAGTTCGAGTCGTGAGGCACACTAGATTTGGCTAGAAAATGGCTGCTTTTACAAAATGGCGCTCCCGCCAATTTTAACCATTGCTGCATTGATTTTACCATTGCTGGAACCTCGTTATGGCTAGCACTGCAGCTCTGCTTAGACAGCACTCCCTTATTTAGGCAGGCTGTCTGACAGGCTTTTCGATCAGGGAGCCTTCTGATTTCGATCTGAGCCATCTCTCCGTCAGCTGTTTGGCGCGAAGGCTCTCGGCGTTATTCCTGATTAAAGTGCCAACTATGCTCAGGCTGTTTAGCACTCCCTTAAATAGGCAGGCTGCCCAGCCAGCAAAAGTCTCTGCGATGCCCCCAAATTCCTTTTCTAGGTCTTTGGGAGAGATCTTTGAAAGATCAGGGCAGTCGCTGTGGCTTTCCTTGTAAAGCTGATAGGCAAAGAACCAAGGCTTATGATTGTAGTAAGCACTGAGAATGTTGAGAAACCTGTGGTGCTATTAGTCCCTTAAGGACTGTTGTGTGGTTAGTCCAAAATAAAAAATCTAAACAAAATACTGCCAACTAAAAAGTATAGAGGAGCAATATAGGAGACATCTATCTCAGCCGAGACTGAATAGAAGAATTAGGGATGGTGGCACAGAAGGTGTGTGTCTTCAGTTTTTCTATTCAGTCTATAGCCGAACAGAGCTGAATACTTCCCATGCATGGATCCTGTCGAAACCATTCTGGAGAATGTTGTATTCCCAATGGGCATTATATGCAATTAGCTAAAAGGTAATGATTCTGTAAGTCAGCATCTCCATACTCAAGTGATTAATCTCAAATTGAAAAAGAAATATTTTTACTATTCATTTAACACTTAAAAGGGATGTCTACTATTGCTTAATTTCATGTTATTAATGAGTACTGGTTTGGTGCTAATTAGAAGGGTTTAGTGCTTTCTTAAAAATGTTGAGAATGGGAAGAATATATGAGAGCTGTGGGTAGAAGTACCTCCTGTGCATAAATTACTCTATATATACCCAAGATCTCGGTCATGCATAATAAAAATTGTGGATTTCTCTGAATAGAAAAATTTCATGTTAATTCACAATCTGCTTTCAGACATTTTAAGAAATTATCAATATAGTATCTAGGAACACCGAGACATATTGTTGAGGTTGATGCTCAGCAAAGTTGGCTCGTTCCTTGGTACGTGCATGCCCCAAGGGGAATGAGGCAAGTGAGAAAACAGTCAGAACAGAGATAGGAAAAAAACTAAATACAAGTGTAAATTGGCATGACAATCAGCCCAATTACAAGATATTCTTTGGCAATTTTTCTCTCCTATCTCATCCTATTAGATGTATTGACAACCAGGAGGCACCACATGATCCATTTTATAAGACTTGTTAGGCATAGGCAGCCAGATGTTATTCCTAGGAATTGAACTCGGGGACTTTTGTGCTTCAGATGACTATAAATAGTGGCTCATCTTTATCAGCTATCCAAATCCTAATAATGGCACTCTCAGTGAGTTATATAGTATCTATTGGTACATACAGCTCACCTTTCCTTAAGCCCTTAGATGTTACATTATGTGATGTCCCTGTTACAGGTACTATTCCCAGGTATAGGTAGTCTACTTACAACTATTAGTTTAATGACCATTTAAAGTTACAATAGCACAGAAAATAATGACTTATGACTGTTGCAGCATCCTCATGGTCACATGATCAAAATTCGCAGGTTTGGCAACTGGTATATAATTATGATTATTATGTCCCGGAGTCATGTGATACCTTTTGCAACTTCCTGACAAGCAAAGACAATAGGAAAGCCAGATTCACTTAACAACCATGTTACTATCTTAACAATTGCAGTGATTCGCTTAACAACTGTGGCAAAAAGGATTGTAAAATGGGAAAAAATTCACTGTCTTACTTAGCAATGGAAATTATGGACCCGATTGTGGTCATATATCCAGGACTACATGTAGAATGAAATGGATCATAATGCTTGTCTTCTGGTGGCTAGTGTAATGGAAAGCACCAGACAGGAATTACATTGTATAAAAGCAAAGAAATTCCCTCACCCTCAAGATGGATAGTGATGGTGGTAGTGGAAGCCTTATAAAATTCCATATGCAAGGGATGACATAGTGTAATATATAGCAAGCATGCAACCCCATGAAAAGATGCAGTTTTTCTCAAGGAAGCCTACAAGAGCTAATCTAAACAGAATATTTACTTCAGCCATTTTTCTCAGTCAAAGATGAATATTATTTTCACATAAGTCTTAGATTTATTTCAGTTTCTACTTGCCTCTGGGACCTTGTATTTTCCACACAAGGCCTATTTTTTTGGAATACATGCGCACACACACGAGTCTGAGATCACCCTTGGACTGTCATCACTGTGTTACCAATAGAACACAATGTTTTGTATTCCTTTCTGGGCGTGCACTACAAAATCTGCTACACTGTGTGACTCATCCTCTCCATGTGAAACCTCAAATCCACAGAATCTTTGCCCATTTTAATTAAGCAACTTAAAGTTTCAGTATCTAAGGCAACTGGATCAATAGATCAAATCTATTCATTCCAAGGATACAACACAAGGAGTGATACTTTAAATAGTTATCCTTTAGAAGCCAATGTCAATATAATGTGACAATTACTGCTCTACTGCACATTCTGTGAGATCCAGAAAGCACGAAGATACCCTTTTATTAAGTTTTCATTGTACACTTTAGGAATTGCATCCATAAGAAAATCATGGAGGCTTTTAAGAAAAGACTAGACAGCCACATGTCTGGAATGATGTAGGAACTGCTTGAGCAGAGACTCTAAGGTCCCTTCCAACTTTGTTATTCTGTCATTCTTTGTTATTCTGTCATTAAATCTAAATATAGGAGTTTAACCTGGAACATTAAAAGCTCCAGACTTGACATAATTAGAATAAAAGTATGTTTAGGGGGCATAAGACTGACTTGTTTTCAAGCAGGACAAGATAAGGCTCTGCCTACAAAGAAAAGGTTAAGGAAATAAAATAAAAAATTATTATAGATATATTTTGTGGCAAGGTAATACAGTACCTTGTACAGAAAGTACAGGTCTATACCACAAAAATAAAACAGAATCCTGTATGTATGTTACCAAAAAAGATGGCAATGCTATTTTGATCATTTTTAGTTTGTTTGATAAGGCACAAGCCAGGCATTCTCTACAAACTTGGACTGAATCTAGTTGGACTGCCAAAAAGAAAAAAATATATTATTAAAATATAATTCTAAGATACAAAATACCTACAGTTTTCTGTTTCTGTATAGTTTTAAAAGCCCTGCCACAGTCTTAAAAGCTATAAATAATAACAAAGACTACACAAAACAAAGCACTAGTTAGTAGATTCTGAATGTACTTAGTATATATTTGAACTCTGTCACTCCCCCTGTCAACTCCCTATGACTCATAGCATCTTCTTATGAAATAGGGCGTTGGTACTTACTTGATACACCCGTTCTCTGTGAGCTGTGAAGAGCATCCAGTAGTGGGAGGTGCTTCAGTCTCTTCCTAGTTAGGCTGGGATTAATTGTGAGGATGCTCCTCCTCCTCCACGGGGCTCCTCCTTAGCATCCCCAGTTTTTGCGAAGCTGAAGTGATGGCCCCTTCTATGCTTCATCCTATCTAAGACCTTTGGCCAGAGTAGACCCCCACCAGATGGAAATGGGTGGGGCTGGATGCATTTCACAGCTCACAGAGAACAGGCATATCAGGTAAGTACTAACCCCTTTCTCCCATGAGCTGTTCAGAGCATCCAGTAGTGGGACATACCAAAGCTTGGAACTGTCCTAAGGAAGGGACTCCATCTGGATTGATGTCCTCTCCAAGTCCGTGTGAACTCATTGCAAGACCCTCCTACCAAATGAAGCCTCAGCGGATACAAAGACATCGATTTTATAATTCCTAATAAATGGCGAGGGCGAAGCCCAGGTTGCCGCTCAACAAATCTCCTCTATTGTCGCTTGCGTGGCCCATGCTGCTGATGTTGCTGCACTCCTGGTGGAATGAGCTGTTATGCTTTTGGGTATAGGTAGCTAGTAGGAATCATATGACTTAGAGATTGTGGCCCTCAACCACCTGCCAATGGTGGAAGAGGAAACTTTGCGTCCGAGAGTGTTAGGCTGAAAGGACACAAAGAGGACCTCTGTTTTCCTAAAGGGTACCATGTGATCTAGGTATATGCGTAGAGCCCTTCTGACGTCCAGACGATGCCATTGGCATTCGAGTCTGTGAGATGGAACTGGACAAAAATTTGGGAGCACCAGCTCTTGTGCTCTGTGAAATGTCAAATTGATTTTTGGAGTAAAGGTTGGGTCTGGTCTAAGGATAACTCTGTCTGAATGAATGATACAGAGATCCTTTCGCACAGATAAGGCTGCCAGTTCGGAGATTCTTCGTACTAATGTAATTACAATTAAGAAGACAACTTTATAAGTTAGAAAACGGAGGGTCGTGGTCCTTAGGGGTTTGAAAGGACTGGTAGTAAGTTCCGTTAACACCTTGTTGAGATCCCAAGTCGGGTAATGGTGTACTACAGGGGGCCGCAAGTTCCTAGCACCGCGGAGGAAACTGTGAATGTGTGGATGATGGGAAATGGAGGTGAGATCCCCCCAAGAGATGCCAAAGCTAGGGCCACCACTTGTCTCTGCAGGGGATTTGGTGATAGACCCTTGTTCAGGCCCTCCTGCAAAAAATCCAATAGTTGTGCTACAGATGGAAAAGTGGGGTCAATCTGAGACCTCATAAACCAACGGCAGAAGATGGACCAGGTGGCATCATAGATACGGTTTGTCACAGGACGTCTAGCCACTTGTATGGTGTGAATGACCTGACTGGAAATGTGTTAGCCTCTCAGACATCACCGCTCAATTTCTATATGGCTTGGTTGAGCCATTGCGGGTCCGGATGTAGACCTGGACCTTGAGACAGCTAGACGACCGACGATGGGATCCTCCACAGCGGTTCCATTGACAGGTCCTCAGGTCTGCAAACCATGTGCGCCGTGGCCAGTAAGGAGCCACTAACAACAATTCTACCCTATCCTCCACAAGCTTCTGGATCAGTTTGGGAATCACGGGGAGGGGTGGAAATGCATATAGCAGTCCGGGAGGCCAGCAACAACGGAGGGCATTGACATCCTCTGCCCCCTGCAATGGATATTGCGAAATGAACCACAGTAGTTGGGCATTGAGGGGGGAGGCAAACAGGTCCATAACCAGTTGACCCAACCTCTGGACTGCCTCCTGAAAGATCTTTGGATCCAGGCGGCACTTGGATTGGTCGATCGTGGCCCTGCTGAGCCAGTCTGCCTGGACGTTTGCTAGTCCCGATATATGTTCCGCTTTGAAGGAGAGGAGATTGTGCTCGCCCACAGGAACAATCTTTCTGCCTCTTTCATTAATTGACTGGAATGAGTGCTCCCATTTATATGGGCCTTTGTTGTTATGTTGTCTGTTAAGACAAGGACGTGTTTGGACCAAAGCTGTGGGACGAATTTGCGGAGGGCCAGGTGGACCGGTCTCAGCTCTAACCAGTTGTGCAACTTCTCTGGGACAGTCCAAAGACCTTGCGCCATGTGTGAAAGATAGTGAGCTCCCCAATCCCACTAGGCTGGCATCTGTCATGATTGTTGATCTGTATGGATCCTTGAAGGGACAAACCCTGTTGATCGTAGAGTGTGTCCACCATCGCAAGGATTTCAGGACATTTGATGGAACTATGACATGAATTTTGGCTTTGTCTCTCCCAGAGTGCTGGTAGAGCAACAGGAACCATTGCAAGTTTTTTGTATGAAAACAAGCCCAAGGAATAATGGAAATACAAGAAATCATCTTCCCTAGTAATTGAGATAGGAGAGCTAGTTGTACCCTTTTAAGGGTTCTGATCTCCTGTGCCAGTCCCCTGATGCTCTCCTGCCTGTCTGGGGAGAGGAAGACCTTGCCTTCCACAGTATCAATAATAGCCCCTAGGTGAATCAATTTGGTAGAATATGATAAATGACTTTTCGCCCAATTGTTAGAAAAACCATGCTGTTGAAGGGTCACTAGAATAATGTGAGTATCCGTCTTGGCCTGATGGATGACGCCAGTAGCAAAATGTCATCCAAATAACACTGGAAGCGGATGGGCCTGTCTTGGAGGAATGCGGCCAGGGCAGCCAAGACCTTGGTAAAAGTCCTGGGGGCTGATGCTAGGACAAATGGGAGAGCAATGTACTCATAATGTGTGTTGTTGTAGCAGAACCTGAGAAATTTAGTGTGGGAAGGCCTAATTGGTAATGTGTAAATATGCCTCCATGAGATCTATAGAAGCACATCACCCCGTCTGATGCTAAGCAAGATGAATTGTAGAGTGGTCATTTTAAATTTTCAATAGACTAGGAATCGGTTCAGGCGTTTAAGGTCCAAAATTGCCCTCCATCCCCCTGAACTTTTCGGAACCACGAAGAGGTACAAATAAAAGCCCTGACCCTGCTGGTCAGGTGGGACAGGTTGAATGGCCCAGATCTCCAATAAGTGTCTTATAGACGTTTGCATAAGAGACCATTTCCCGGGATCCCTGGAAAGTGGGCACCTCACAAAAAAATTTGGTGGGATGGACTGGAATTCTAGAGCCAAGCTGAACCTGATAGTGTCCCTGACTCATGCATCAGAAGTAGAGGAATCCCATTGGTCGGCAAATAATTTTAGGTGGCCGCCAATGGGAATATCCTGGTGGTCCCTATTTGGGCCAGCTGAAGGCACTGGTTCCTGACCCATGAAACTGCCTCTTAGTTTGACTTCCTCGCCTATTTCTATCCCCAAATTTGGGTCTGACTGTTGCCTATATCCTGGTGGTCTCTGATATCTGGGATAATAGGGTCCCTGATAAAAGGGATGAAAGGAGCCTCTTCGAAAGGACTAGAGAGTTCTGGATTCTGATTTTCGAAAAGGAGAGGGGAGAATCTTTTTCTTGCTCCTAGTTTCAATTAGGAGGGGGTCAAGAGCGCTGCCAAATAACTTGTCCCCCGAAATGGGAGCTGAGGCAAGCCACCACTTATGTTTAGTGTCAGCTTGCCAATGTCTGTGCCAGAGTAGTCTCCTTGCTGAGACTTGAGACAATGGCCCTTGATGAAAAATTTACAGCATTAAAGGTGGCGTCCGCAGAAAATTCTGCAGCAGCAATCAACTTGGCAACGTATCGGTGTGCCCTTATATTAGAAGGTGGAATAATATCCCTCAGGTGGCAAAGCCATCTAAGGGATGACCTAGTAGAAAATATGAGGCTATGGCCGCTCTAATGGCCCATGCATCCAAAACGTGTGCCCTTCAGATAGCCAGTTCCGCCCTCTTCTCCTCAGGTTTGAGGGCTTCTTCTGCCTCTCTTGGACTAGCGGAAGAGGATGCCAGGGCAATTATCAGTTCATCCACTTCCGGAGTATTGAGGAAGTTGGAAAACTCGGGTGCCAAATTATATATTTTTTTATCATATCCTGTAGGGGCAGGGTATGATGCTGAAGCAGCCCGTTGCTTCTGTACTAGGTCAGAAAACATATGAGGAATGGGAATTACGTCCGCTTCAGTGACCGGTTGGGAGAATATTAGATCCTCTGCTTCCCCTGGAATCTCAGTTGGTTGGGGGGGAGGGTTCGCTTTGTCAAGGCGTGCTGTATTCTTAGCCTTAAACAACAAAGATTTAAATAACTGTGGGCAAAACAGTCCCGTACATACAGGTTGGTCAGGAGTGAGGCCCTCATCGTCTGACATCCCCTTCTCCAATGGGTCCACCTCTGACAAGCCCTGGTCTATGGTGAGAATTGACCCCTCTTCCATTTGTTCAATCCGATCAAATTTGTCTCCCAGGTCATGCAGGCCCTGTGGGGGCATGTCTGGGGAAATAGAGAGCCCCATTTGGGGGGGTACCTGAGGGAAATGCTGGTCCAATAAGCCTCTGAGAGGGACCCGCAGTCTGAAGCTGTGGATGGTCGTCTGGCCCAAACCACTTGTTGTACACCTACCGTTGTGCCCTTTTGAATTGCCAACTCCATCCACGACCTCATGCTGGCGGGGATTTCCTCCAGAAGTTCCTCTTACTAATGAAGGCCAGCTGCAGTGGGAGTAAATGTTGCCTCCGGGGCCCTCCTTGGGGCGGGCACATTGGATGGGGCCTCTTGAGAAACCTGTCTAGCTGTGCTGTGCCTTCTAGACAAGTCCAGGGGCGAGGGGAAAAGACTTAGGGCCTGAGCAGTGTTAGGCGGAGTCTGTGATGATGAAGCGGCCTGTTCCGTTTCCCTGGTATGCTTTTCGACTTGATTTTCTAAGGCCTGATGACGTCTGCATGCATCCTTTTCAGTTGCCTTTGAGGGCTTTTGGGGCTCCGTGGACTCATCCTGGGCCTTGGATGCTACTCTGGATCTGGAACTGTAGCCGCTTGCCATTATAGATCTTGTTATTCAAGCTCAATATTAAAGAAGATTGTGAGATATGGTGGCTGGCACACCTAGGGGCCTGCTCCCTCAAGGGGCAGGGGATCCTTGCCAATAGTTTGTCCCCCTTTATGTTTTTTTTTTTTTTTTTGCTATGCTCTGTAGAGGTATAGAATTATTTTATATTGTGGGAAGGTATTGAAAACTCCTTGAATCTGGGTCCGAATTAATTAACCTTCCAATTGTCCAATGAGAAGATTTAAAAAAACAAAATTTGAATTAAAAATTTTTTTGAATTAAAACCAATTCTAGAAACAATTTCAGAACGAATTCCAATTCAGCTGCAGAACACCCCCTCAGACCAGTTCCCTGAATTAAGGGGGAAAAGGTCTGCAACTGGTAACCTGCACAGGCGTTAAAACCTAATGCACACAGTTCAGCTGCTTAATTTGGGTTGCTGTGAGGCTGTGCCAACTGTCAAAAATTCCCTACCACCCAGAGAAACTGGGGGTAGGGAAGCCTGTCCCCAGGAAGGGAAACCTAGCAGGGAAAAATCTCTCACAGTCAACAATGAGAAAATGATGTAATCACCACTCAGCTGGATTAAAATGGCAGCCATCGCATGGCACGATTTCGATCTACCGCCCGATCTACCACAGACAAAACCACTCAGCGGGAAGGGTACAGAAGCTCTAAGTTTCTGCCCGTAAGGTGTTCTGCAGGGGGAAGCCTCAGCCTCTGTCTGCACGCTCGTTGTTCAGAGCTGCACAAGACGATCGTAAAGAGAAGAGCTTCTCTTGTTTGCGATTTTGGAGGCTTTTCGCCTCAAGTTGAAATTGAAGCACAGCAATCAATCTCAGAGGGGTTTTACGAGCCCCGACGGCCTGGATGATGGTAAAAGAGCCATCGGGAGCTACTGGGTTTCCTCGATGACAAAGGGATTCCCCAAATGAATTTGAATACCAAACCTTGGTCTGCTAATATCTGTAATCCGAGCTCTACTTCGGCCAAAGTAGAAGCTGCCTATTCCTATGAAGGCTGAGCTAAAACTGGGGATGCTAAGGAGGAGCCCCATGGAGGAGGAGGAGCGTCCTCACAATTAAGCCCAGCCTAACTAAGAAGAGACTGAATCACCTCTCACTACTGGATGCTCTGAACAGCTCACGGGAGAACACCAGTAGGCTCACAGGTAGACCACAGCCATACAGAGATGCTGCTTGGGAGAACCTAAACTGTATCAACAGTTTAGGAAAGGGCAAGATATGGCTCCCTAGAAAATCCAACTCAATCTTTGATTAGACAGCAAAGCTAGCAGTTACAGATTATGGGCACTGTAATCCAATAAATATAGCATTTTTCAAAAGTTTAAAATACAACAACAGTATGACTTTAGTCAATTCTCTTGCTTACATACATTGCCTACCACAAATCTGATTCCATTTCCGCATATTCTCAAAATAATTTCAAAGGAATCAGAAGGAAATAAAAGCATACTAGGAACATATACTATCACTCTGCAAGGAATAAATATGGTCCTTTTGTTAATCTTAATAATGCTATTGTGGAGATGTAATATAAGATGGTTTTTAACACATCAGAAAAAAAGATTATTAATCTTACCATTGGCTGGTTCAAGTAGTTACTTATAAAATTATGCAAAAAGAAAATTGTTCGTTCATTAAATGATTGAATAGTATTTCCTGGAACTAGAAGTTATTCTTCTCACTGCTCTTGTTTAGTGTTTATGTTCAAAAATATTCCAAACAATGCAAAAAGCCCAGCTAACTAGCACAAGGCTTAATTATCTCTGCAATTCTTCTTCTCTAAAAGTTCAGATGCATAACAGATGCTTCAGTGCATTACATTTCATATGTCTGGGGCTGACTAAAACCATACACAATCTTGTTTAATACCCATGACAAATAACAGAATTTACCTCTAATAATTCAAATAATTGCAGAGAAATCACCTCAGGAATTTGTTTGAATTAATCTTTCTTCACACCTTCTTCAA